TGCGCCGCCGGGGCCCTCCTGCTGGCCAGCCTCCCCCTGAAGAGGGTGGGTGGGACCGGGGAGGGCGCGACAGGTGACGGCGAGGAGCGAGGGCCGGGTGGGGCCGGGGGCGCTCGGCCCGTGCTGGCCCGGAAGCAGGGCCTGAGGAGCGAGGGCGAGGCGGGCGGCGTGGGCGGCCGCCTCTGCGGCACCCCGACCCTGAAGGTGCGTGTGGTGCAGACGTCAGGCGTGGTGTCATGGGGGAGGACACCCAGGCAGATGGCTCGGGCGCACCGAGGCGCCACGTCCCCCAGCCAGCGCTGCAGCTGCTGGACATGTGCAGACTGCCTGGCTGGGTCACCCCTTGTCTGTGCATCGGTCATGGGCACGCTCCCAAGTGGCATGCTGCCGGTGTCCAGAGTCCAAGGACGGACGCCGCCAGTCCCCTCGGTCGCCCACCTGGACTTTTGCCTGGCATGCGCCCCCACCCACCACGCACCCAGCCCTCAGCACCCCCCCTCCCTTCCCTCCAGACGCTCGAGAACGGCACTGCAGTGCTCCTGTTCCTGCTCACGGAGGACGATGGGCAGACCTGCAGGTGCCTGGTCAAGAACGAACCCCTGCTGGGCCAGCTGCGCCGGAGCCTGCGCTTGTGAGTCACGGCGAGGGAGGGGGGGGGTGTTTTAATGTGTCCCGTCAGATGGCAGCCTCGCCCATGCAGCTGAGCCTGGGAGGCTTGGTGCTCTGATATCTGCTGCCCGAGGTGCATGCCGCTTTCGCCTGTACAGAACTCATGTCCCACCTCTCCACCTCCCTACCTCCCCATTTGCCATCGCAGAGAGGGCCCTGCCCCTGCCTCCATGGATATCAAGATCAGCCTCTGCCCCATGAAGTGTATCAAAGTGGAGAACGGGGTGTCGAGCCTGCGAGACCTCCCTGACACAGAGTATGGCGGGAGGTGCTTGGGGCTGGAGGGGAGACTTGGATCCCAAACCATCCGCGGTTTGTACTCTGGAAACTCACTGACCAACAGGTGGCCCAGGGAAGCTCCCTGGGCCCCGCGCCGAGCCCTGCCAGACACTCGAATGACTGCAGCAGAATGCCCGCTCATTACCACACCTCATCCGACTTCATCAGGGTGGAGATTGCCCCGTGCGATGCAGCCGCCAGGGTCAGAACGGATGAGGCGGCTCCTTCCATCTCCGTGGCGTGCAGCCAGGCTGGCCCTGCGCGCGGCACGCCCAGGGCGAGGGAGTCGGAGCACGAGGTGTACAGCCAGGTCACCCCTGCCTTCTCCTGGGCGCCCCGGGGTGGGGCGGCTCCCACCGGCAGCAGTCAGGCGAGCATGCAGCCTGCAAGTAGTCTGGGTGGGCGGAAAGGGTCGGTGGTGGAGAGGCTGAGCTCCGTGCTGGCCCGGCTGGCAGAGGAGGGCGTGCCCAAACAGGAAAGGAATGCGGCCCTTAAACGTGCGCAGCGAGACAGCGAGTGGAGGGAGTGGAGCGAGGCCAGGCTGCTGGAGGCGGCGCGGGCGGCACTCGATTAGGGAGAGGTCGACTGCTGAATATTACTGTATGAACCCCTGAGTATCGTGTTCCTGACTGAGATTGTCCTCTGGGCTCTGTTGCACCACATTGTTTGGATGTTCTGCCTTTCCTGCGCGAATGCTTGAATTCATCACTCGTCTGTAAGCCTTGCTGGCCGTGCATCCCGAATTCCACTGTGCGCGAGTCACCATGGGCTGAGGTCCGAGCAACGCTTAGTACCCGCATGCAAATCAGATTACATGCACAGAACCTCTTGTCGGTATCGTGGGTCCTACCTCACCGCCCATGTTCTCCGAGTCCGGCGCTGAGGGTAGCACCGGAGCTACGACCGCGAACTGCGCCTCGCACAATCCCCTCACAGCCTCTCTCCTGAAGCATTGCGCGTTACTGGGTGTATCTCCACCCCAGGAGTATGTCGATGCTCTGTTGCATGTCCCTTCAAGCTTGGTACTCGAAGCACCCGGCAGACCACCTCAAGGTGCATCTGTGTTTTGAGTGCCATCATCATGTCAGATGCAGTAGCCATGGCATTGGCAAGGCCAAGCTTGAAACCAATTAGGATCGAAACCAAATATCATTCCTTCTGGCAGATGGAGGGGCAGCGCTGCACCTGGCAAATATCCCCGTGACGGAGGAGCAGCTAATGGGTCTGCTGAACTGCCTGCTCGCCCCCCTGCCCCGCCTCCTCCTACGCCACCTGGACCTGTCGAGATGCACGGTGGGTTGATGCCTGATAAATACAAACGCGTGGTTGACCCATTAACTGCTCCAAACCAAAGTTTGTTCCCCTCTGATTTCACCCCTCCCATTATTCTCTTTCACTTGGCCAGGTGAATACAAGGGTGATCCAGCAGCTGGTGGGCATGGTCTCATCTGACCCGGAGGCCTCAGCGTGGAGGCTCGAGGGTCTCGGGCTGCGACAATGCCAGCTCCCACCTGGTAGGAACCTGTATGGCTGGTCATGCGGGATTCCTCATGGAATGTTCTCCATTCTCTTTGTGCTGAAATTCAAGGCAGGGGTAGTGTTCCCCTGCTCCTCCTGCTGATATCCAAACCATTGCCACAGGGGCCATGTCCTTGCTGACTCAACCAAAAGCCCAGAGACTGCTCAGCCACCTGGCATGGCTGGACTTGTCCCAGAATCCAGAGCTCCTGCGCAACCCCCTGGAGAGCCAGGATTGGATGGCCCTGTGGCGCCTGGCACCCCTCCGCCACCTGGACCTCACAGTCACAGGCATGACAGCGGGTTGTGCCACTGGTTTAAAGACTTTCTGGATTTATATGATTTGCAAGGCTTGTCCTCGATGTGTGGGTGCACAGCTGTGATACATTCATTCAAGTGTGATGTACTTTGACAGGTTCACCATGGGTACAGTCGCATCTTCGAGGATTGAAGTCAATTTCCACCGTCCCGCAGGTGCCTCGCTTTCTTGCTTGGCCCAGGCCCTGCACTGGCTGGTGCATTCCGCCCCCCTGTCGGCCACGGCTCGTTGCGCCGAGTACAGGCACGATGGGGCCCTGGCCTCCCTGCGCAGCCTCAGCATCAGCGTGGCTGCCAGTGCTGAGGCTGAGGGCAGGGACGAGGAGGAGCTGCTGCTGGGTGAGAGCTGGGGGAGGCCTGGATGCCTTGCACACACGACTGTCTGCGCCTGGCTGGCTGTGCATTGGATCGAAGGGGTACTGGGGAAAGGCATGGTTTATTTTCATGCATTGTTCAGTCTTGACTCATTCCCAATTGCAGGGCGTTTGCTGGCTGCGTTTGTGGCGGCAGCCCCTTGCCTGGTCCGCCTTGAGGTCCAAGGCCTGACAAGTGCGGCGGCAAACGATGCTATTTGTGCCGCCTGGCATGTCCGCTTCTCAGGAACCGAGGCCTCGACCCTGATGGATGCCGCCGGGACACTGCACCTGTCCTCTGGGTCGGCCCAGGAAAGCAGCGCCGCCTCAAGAGCCCCATGCCAGCACATGCTGCCGTCGCCATCCACACCGCCTGCGGGAGCGTTCGGGGATCACCAGGCCCTGGGATCGGCAGCGACCGAGGTGGGGTCATGCTATGCTTGCCGTCCTCTTGAAGCCCGATGTATGGTGCATTCGTACGAATACCTCCCTCACCCGACCCTCACATATTCTCTCTCCCCCGCAGCATGCTGAGGTGGCACCACCCCCACCCTTCCTGCTCCCCGGGGTGGTGGCCTCCCGGCAGAGGCACCTGGGTCCCCCCAGTCATGCTCCCAGCTCCAGTCTGGGTCCGCTGGAGGGTGACATGTTCCACGGCGGTGAGTATGGGAGTTGGCTGAGGCTCTGCGCATGCCAGAGGCACTCTCAGGACGGTGCCCGCCTGCGACGATGCATCCTCGATTCATCCCTGAAACTCATCCCCGACCCATCTCCTACACCCTCTTGGCACGCAGATGGCGGGCCGGCCCCAGCCGCCCTGCCCCCCTTCCTCCCCTCCCAGCGACCCGCGGTGGGTTCCAGGCGGTCCCGTGACCCGGGTGCAATCTACCGAGGGAGCGAAGCCCTGCCTGACTTTGGCATGGATCTGGAGGGAGAGCGGTCTGCTGAGCACAGCGAGGAGGAGGAGGAGGACAGCGATGTCTCGGGCAGCGCCTCATCGGACGGTGGGGAGTCGGATGCAGACATCGACCTGGGGCGGCTGCAAGCTGCGCCTGCCGAGGCTCCATCCCCTCAAGCTGCGACCATGCCCCGAGACACCCAGGCTCTGGAACGGCGGGGCGCCGAGGGTGCAGGGGCCTCGGAGCCGCCGGCGGCCGCGCAGCAGAGCCGTTTCAGGCAAGGCAGGAAGGCCAAGGGGTACTGTGAATGCTCAGAGCCACGATCACCCCTGTGATCCAGTCAGCATGTTTGCGCAGCCCTCGCAACAGCCCTGTCGCCCATCTGATTCCCCAAGCACCCGTCGCAGGATCGAGGACGGGCAGCTGGATGATGATGATGTGGCAGCGCGGAGGTACGCAAGGCTTGTACCCCAGATGATAAGGTGAGCGGCTCAGCCATAATATTATGGCGCACGCTGCCTTCAGAAGCATGGGAGAGTCCTGTTGGAAGGGGGGGGGCTTTCTCATTGGCACTCCAGGTTGAATGCGCAGGGCGTGCATGCCCAGAGGTGTCCAGGTAGTCCTCGTGTCTCTTGAGCCTGCAGCAACCTCACTGCTGCGCTCAGGTCGATCCCAGATGAGGAGGACTGCAAGCGTGCAAGGCAGGCCTACCGACACTGGTTCAACATGGCCTCGGATCCCTGGGACAGGTGGGTCTGGTGACACGGCGGTGGGCCCAAGCTGTCAACGCTGCGCTGCCTCTCCCAGCATGTCCTGGTGGGGCCACCCAGCAAGTTCCACGTTCAGGCTGCTCCCTGCCTGCATGCAGGCGGCGATGGGTGAACCCCAGGATCGACCGGGAGGACTCCCCCGAGCTCCTGGGGCTCCTCAATCTGCTATACGATCTGCTTGAGGCGCATGGGCTGCACCTGGACTTCCCCTTTCCCCTGCGGAAGCCAGGCAAGCTGGAGACGACGGTTGATATGAGCATGATGCGCCTGACCCAACTCCTCAGCGCTGCCGCCACAGACAGTGCGTCCCTGCCACAATTGACCTCCGCAGGTGGCGGGAAGGGCGCCTTCCTCCCTGCACTAGAGAGGAGCTTGGAACAGGTTCCTGAACCGGCATCACCGCCGCATTCGAGCTCTGCAGCGCCCGACCAAGGGGACCCCTCACCCCTGAGCGCACCGACCGCCACGCAAACGACCAGGAGCCAGGCTCAGAGGGGGGCGCGCAGGATTGCAGACAGTGAGGATGAGGATGAGGACGGCGCTCCCGACATCTTCCCCGACAGGTACTCGGGGTTTGCTAAAGTTTGGTAGGACATCGTGCGCACATGTACCTGTGCCCCACAAGATCTGAGGAGCGGGACCCAATCCGGAAATGTGGAAACACGTCGGTATATGAGCCATCGCGTGTGGCTTTGCACTCAAGCACCTGGTTCCCTACCTTGCAGTCAACCCGAGGATGACTGAGAGGCAGCATCTTCCTCCTTCGAAGGCATGCCAAGCTGGGCAAAACGTGTTGGGTAGATCTGGCAGCTGAGAGTGACGAAAGTATTGAGAGCCCAACCCATACTAGAGACACTGCATGCATGTTTACCCTGTCAGTGGTCACAGACAACAACTTGGTTCAATCAAGTGTAGGATTCAAGTCCTCGTCTCTACAGTGAGGCCGATGGCGGAGTGGCAAACCTTCAGAGAAGTGGAGACTTCAACACCTTGATACTCAGCGTGAACCCAGCCCCTGCGTCGGTGCTGCGCTTTCCATTCCAAAATCAGTGCACCTATACCTGAACTCCTCCCTGGGATACCCTGAGTAGAGCTTTCCTGTGTTGTCCCTGAATGGTACAGATGCTTCAATATTCTTCCTTGGCACACGCAAAGGGTCAAAGTGCACTGGATGCTGGGAGTCCCTGAACCATGCCCTACTTCTTCCACGTGGGATCATCCTTCCCCGTGGCCCAGTCCCTCAGCCTGTTGAACAGCTTGCTAGGCAGGGCGGGAATGGACTCCATGGCATCAAAAATCTCCTTGATGTCAGAGTTGGGATCCTGCATTCCCGCCTGCAAGTGCTCGAGGGGTGTGGCGATCCAGCATTGGGCATGCATTCGTCTACCACTAAACTGCAGGGGAGTGATATATTGTAACGCTTCATTTGCCCACCCTGCCTCCCTGCACTGCCCCAATCCCACCTTTGTCGGGATGCCTCTGATGGGGGCGAGGCGCTGTCGAACGCCATCCATATTGGTAAGCAGAATCTTGCGCTCGGCGATGCGTTGCTTGGCTGCCGCCTTCTCCTCGGGCGCTGCATCGCCCCGCTGAAGGATGCTGATGTCCTCCTCGATTCCGCCGCTGTACCCTTGAACCCTAGGGGTTGTGGGCGGGGGGTGAAGAGGGTCGGTGACAGCTGCCAGGACGTGTCATGAGCAAATCATGCTCCAGGCAGGCCTAAGAGGGGGGTCTGATGAAGCCAGCAGCAATGTTCATTGGTTCCGAGAGGCATGAAGCCCCCTCACCTGGCTCTCAGGTCGGACATGAGAAGCTGCAGGATCTCATACTCATTCTCCACAGATATGATCACGTCGCGCTCAAAATTTACCTGCCGGACAATATGAAGGTGGGAGGTGTTACAGTTGCAAAAGGTAGCTGCCCGCAATTTCCTAGGCGAGTGCAATGGACACTTGATTAAAACTTCCAGACTAAATGAGGACAATACTGTACAAGGCATGTCTTGGTCTGGTGCTGATGTCCTCTCTGGCATCCTCTGCAGCAGGTTGTTCCCGCCATCCCCTCATGCGATGTTTCCAAGAGTCGCTGAAACTCCTCACCTTGGCAAACTGCGCGGTGTCCTGGATCCGAGACAGGCGGAGGTAGGCCAGGTGTTGCACGGAGAGTGAGTCATGTCGTATTGGGAACATCTGCTTAACTCCTGCGGAGTATGGGATCCATGGTGCAGCAGCTCCTTGAGGGTGGGCCTCCACGGAGCCTTATGACTGGCAGACTGCGCCTGCGACCAGGCCATCAAAGCGGCTCACTCATCGACAAGAACATTGCCTCAAACACCAAAGCGCCAGCGGCTCACCCAGCCCCACGGAGTCCAGGATCTCCTTCTTCAAGCCATACAGGCGGTCTGTGATGACCAGCGAGGCCGGCACCTCGAGGAAGTCGACATCCTGCCCGGCGGTGCCCCCGCCCAGCGCAAACATGAGCTCGCAAGAGGGTCGCTCGTCCCTCAGGACCAGGTCCTGGCCCCTCCTGTGATGGTGTGGTCAGGGAGGTGCGGAGGGTGTACACATGGCGCAATGCCATCCCCTTTCTGTTCATACTAGCGAACCTCGCCACCCGTTCTACAGGTGCCAGGCGCCTCACTTGATGCCGGTGTCGGCCCGTACTATTACCGACGAGGAAAGGGAGTCGTAGTCCACGACCGCCCCCTTCTCCCCAGACCGGTCCCAGTCGCGAAGCTGTGGCAGCAGCGCAAAGCACTCTGCGCTCTGGAGGTAGAAGACACTGCGCAGCGTCGCCGCCATGGCTTCGATGAACTTGGCCTCGCTGAATTTATCTGGGGGTGTTTGTGTGTGGGAGGTAAAGGGGGTGTTTAAGATGGCACTGTGAGCCAGCAGGAGCTGCTTTTTCTGTTTGGGGGGGGCTGGGGCAGTATCATGCGCTGCATGACCCAGCCCAGAGCCACATGCACAGCGAACCGAGTGATGCAGTGGCCATCGTCATGCCTACAAAACCCTTGCGTACACCTGACCAGGCCCACCTGGAGGGAAGGCCGCTGGGTCATGCTCACTGATCAACTTTGAGATGTCTGCCCACTCAGCGATCAGGGCCTGCTTCCTCTCCACGACCATGTCTCTCACCGGCGAGCCCTGCAAGAGCTCATCCAGCCGCTGTTGCGACCAGAGCAGGGGGCTGCTGGCGCGTCCCTCGCCCGGCCTGGCCAGCGTCTCCACAGCCGATGCCTGGGAAGTAGGGGATGAGCATGCAACCCAGCTGAAGTGAGCAGACGAGCTTACATCTGTTGTGTTCTCAAGACCATCAAAGGCACCAGGCCAGAGATGTGTGGAGGTGTGCTGCAGCTGTCCTGCCCAGGGCCATGGCAGATCATAGACTGTGCAAGCGGTCGTCATGGACAGTATGACATCGACTCACCTCCTGGCGCATCAGCCAGAGTGCAATGGCCACAAGCTCGCTGCGAGACTCTATCAAAGGCTCCAGGGCCTGGATCGACTGGGCATCTGCCCTTGTGATGGCGTCGCTGTCGGGAATCTCCCGGACGATCTGCACAGGGTGCCATGGAGAGGTTGCCAACAGGCACATGCCAGGACAGAGAAGCTTGCAGTCTCACAAGATGCACCATTCCCCGTCCAGCGACCCTGCATGGACGTCATACCTCTCCCGTGGCATAATCTCTTGCAGCGCGTGGACGCTCCCCATTGCTGCTCACGAACTCTGATGCCAGGCTCGGCTGCACGGCAGAACTCGCAGCCGATACCTTGTGTCGGGACCGGTCACGTGCATGTAATGGAGTGCTGCATGAGGAGGAAAACCTGGGTTGGCACATCTGGCCGGGCATGGGAGCGAAGCGCACCCCATGCTCCCATGCAGGCCGTCCATGCAAAGCAGGCAAGGCTGCAGAGCGCAACATGTTATCGACGTATGTCACACTTGCATCGATGTGATTGCTTGACAAGCTTCTCATCCGCCCGGCGCTGTCATGCGGAGGGTCTCGGATGTCCGGCACTCTTCAAGATCGTAGAGGGGCACTGGCTGGAAAGGACGAGGTTGCACCCAAATGGTCCTTGGAGCTCGAGTACAGGTTTTAAGGCCTGCGACTCATAACACGCTCAGGAGAGACCTAAAGAACATCTTGTTTGCGAGCATTGTAGGGCCCCGAATATCGGGACGCTATTTTTGGGAGGTGCCCTGACTCTCACACAGTTTACAAACCGTACGCTTGGAAACTCTTCGTGAAATATATTCATGTCACAGAATACGGACTCGATACATATCTCCCCGTGACTACCCAGAGTGTCTCAAGTGTTTCTGCTTAAGAGCAACCCAGAGCTAACGCTGCAGAGTTTGTGGGATTTGGGTGGCTGAGCTTGTGGTGTGATATCCTAACCAGCAGGGGTGCATCGTACCAGCTCATACGCAGAACTTTCAGTACTTGGAGTCGAGGAAGGTCTATTGTGTCCAAACAAGGCAGGGGTGGCGTGCTTCGCACGAGTTCCTCTATCACATAGTCGTCGGGGTCCCGCTCTCAAGGATTCCAGACATGGGGAGGCTTACTCCGAGATTTCGCTGGATGAATGAGTGCCGTGCGCGTTGTTTGTTTGAGATTGCCGATAGGCATGTATCCCAGCCGACGAGGTGTCCACGGGGAGCAGCAGGCAAATTTGTACTGCGTATGTATATTGGCGTTAATACTGGGAATGTCATCAAAGAACGACTTACCCGTCCTGGTTCATCAGGAGCAGTAGATCTGTAGGTCCCCAGTTCGATCCTGGGAGGCCGGATTCCCCGATCATCCGGCCTTAGCTCAGTTGGAAGTAGCGACAGACTGTAATCATTCCCTTTTATATCCTTGGGTTTATTTTTACGTTGAAGTCTGGTTGCTGGTCTGGATGCAAAATTGATGCAGTGTGCCGTTGTTTGTGACGGCATCCACTGCCATTTTCTTCCATCTAGCTTTGTGCCTCTGCAGTCACAAGTTGCTACAACAAACGCAGTGCCCCAGCAGGATTCAACGACACATTCCTCCAAGCATGCATGCATCACTCTAGTTTTTCCCGTTTTGTCAGCTCGAACATCACTGACGGCAGGCGGTAGATGTTAATGAGCGCCCAGTACAGCTCCTCCTCCAGGCCGAGCTCCCCCTCCGCCCTTGCAATGTAGATGTCCTGTGGACATGGAAGGTGGCGGGACAGTGAGGACAGTGGGGCACAACACCAGGTTCAGGTTGAAGGATGCAGGGATCAACCCCTGTGGGCGCGGACCGCCTGTCGCTGCGCATCCAGTGCCAGCCGCCGCGCTGACCTGGCAGAGGGCAACGAGGCGCCGGGTGTTGGGCAGGTCCTCGTACGGTATTCGCATGCGGATGTTGGTCATGGACAGGCGCAGGAAGCGCCCGATGCCGTACACGAACACCTGCGCGAGGGAAAATTGTTGTGTGTGTGTGGGTGTGTAGGTGGAGGGTGTGAAAAGGGGCATGAGCCGGGGTGTCAAGAGGAAGCCTGGCTGCGACGCATGATCTTCGAGTGCCCGTGCAGGAACGCTTGAAGGTAGCAACATCCTAGGTCGAGGCCGACTCACGGTGTACAGCCCTGCAATGCCGAATTTGGAGAGGGTCTGTCCGATGAACCCGCCCTGCACACGATCCAGGACCGACACCAGCCTGCAGGATGATGTGGGGGAGCATGATGTTGGGAATTTGCGTGCGGAAAGGGGTACACCACTGAAACATGTTCCCGCACAGACCCCGGCAGCTGCAAGCTGCCATTGCTCTTTCCTTCCCCTACTTGCACGTCCCTTCCCCCTCCCTCTGTAAAACGCACTGGGGCCCCAGGAAGGACTTGGAGCAGTGGTGGGCGTCGTGCTCCGCAAAGGGCGCGCCCCCCGCGTCCACCAGCCCGCAGTCGAAGCGCCACCAGGCCGCGCCGCCCATGCCCTCGCCCTCCCGCTCTCGTCCCAGGCTGACGTTGCAAGCCACCCACTGGTCGTCCCAGCCCTGCGACCCGGGCATCTGCAGGGATTTAAGAGAGGGGACGGAGGGGGGGGAGGGTTTGTTTGTTGAGCAGTGACGGTGCGCAAGGTCGCCAGTTGTTTGCCACATGAGCTGGGGAGAGGTGTCCTGCTGCAGCCCTTCCTGAACATGCTCAACCGCCGCCTTCGCCCTCCCATCTCATTCCCCCATCCACTCCACACAAAGCACACCAGCTTGCACCCACCCCGTCGACGTTGGAGGCCAGGGGCTGGCTGGAGCAGACGTCGCCCCGCATGTGCCAGAAGCGGGGGTAGAGCGCGGCGCTGGCGCCGGGACCCTCCCCTGCGCCGGGGTCGTTCCTGCGCAGCAGCGGAACGGGGTCGCTCGGGCCGCCCCGTAGGAGGGCCAGGAGTCCTTGCCGCGACGACTCCGCCAGGGTCACGGAGGTGGAGCCCACGCAGAGGGGGCCGCCGTGGTCGGAGAGGGGCGGCACGTCACGCTGCACCGTCCAACCAAAGCTGTCATGGAAATTTGTGTGTGGGGGGGGAGAAGAACCATCGGTAATGAGCACGACCGGGGGGGAGCTATCAAGAATATCCGAGTACACCGTCAGATGCTGCTCCCTCTCGCGACATGGTCTGACAGGGGCTTGAACAGCGTGTCCTGCGCACACCTTCTCAAGGGTAAGCCTCCTACCCAGTACGTGTCCATGCACCAATTTCCTCACCTGAGCTGGGCCTGGGTCCCGTTGTCAGACAGCATGTTGATAAGGGACCGCCGGCCAGGGGCCGGCAGCTGCCAGTACGCGTCGGCATCCTGGGAGACAGGTGGAAAAGATGGCTGGGCTGGACAAGAGTCCCGGATTCCTGGAGGCTCCCTTCTCGCCCTATAGGGGCCACCTGCGTGTCACCACTGCCCCACCGTGGTCATGCCAACATGCAGACATCACTGGCAAACCCAGGAACTCGCGTGCACCCACCGGCGAGGCGCAGAGGAGCTGGAACTGGGAGGCCTCGTAGTAGGTCATGCCCGGCCCTAGCATGGCCTGGTCGCCACCCCACTCCCCGGCCACTCGCCGGTCGCCCGCGGCGAAGAGAGGGAAGCTGCGGGTGCTGGTGCGGTGCTTCGCATTCGCCCCCGGCACGGGCTTGCCGACCAGGGTCACGTTGACGCCAAAGCCCACGGCGGCGGGGACCTGGTAGGTCGGGTTGCCCGAGGAGAAGACCAGCAGCGGCACCCAGAGCAGGAGCAGCAGGCCGACGAAGAGCAGCGTGCCCTGTGGTGTGGAGGGAGAGAGGGAGGGATGCGGTTTGGTACAGGATTGGCGCTCCACACTTCAGGGTCCATGCGCGAGGCGTTTTTTGAGTTCCACAAACCATCCCGGCATCGCACCTGGAAGAACTTGGAGTAGCGGGGCTGGCGCTGCCCGGGCGGTTTTGCAGCCCGGGAGCGGCGGAGCACCGTCACAAAGTACAGGCTCATGTTGATGTCCTCCAGCTTCAGCCAGTCCATGAAACTGAGGGAGGTGCGGTGTGGGGAGGGCAGGGAGACGTGAGCCAGAGCGGGGCCATTGCCATCAGCAGAGCCACACACTGTGCTGCATGATTCTTGGGAACAGTTTCTCTGTCCCCCATCGTTCTTCACCAGCCCCCTACCCTCACCCCTTTCAACCAGCTCACGTGAGGGTGGTGGGGGTGCAGGACCAGTCCAGCAGTTGCCTGAGCTCATACACAAAGGGCAAGGCGACAAAGACCTGGAAGGCGGCGGAGCTGTAGATGTTGATCCGCCGCATGAAGACAAAGGTGTGCCGGCCCATCCCGTTCCTGCAGAGATGAGGGAGTGTGGGGCGGGGTGAGGGGCTGGGGGCTGGGGCTGGAGGTGACGCAGTGTCGCTGAATGACCAGCCCACAGTGTTGCATCCTTATGCCTGTTGTGTGCCGGCTGTTTACCCACTCCACCCTCACAGCCCCGCACCTGTAGCTGGCGGGCGGGGGGTAGCCGGTGCGAAGCTGCAGCGCCGACATGGCAAAAGAAATGCACTTGAGGGCCACGAGCGTGCGCAGGTGAGCATGCGCCCTGCCAGATGTGGCAGGTGACCAGAAGAGGGACAGGCAGTATGAGAAGAAGACGGCCATTTGCCTGTAGGGATGGCGGGAGGTGTGTGGGATTAGGGGGTGTGGTGATGGGGATAGCTTGCCCCTGACAGAAGTCTGCGCCTGCTCCGGCATTTGCCCTCTGGCTCCTCGTGTCAACCAGCATCCAGTCGAGTCCAGCTCAAAACACACACAACCCAAAGCCCAGCCGCCCCCCTGCGCACGTGCAGTGGAGCATGGCCTTGCCCAGCGGACTCCCGACGGTGTAGAAGAGGCGGTCCAGCACGATGAGCATGAAGAGGGTGATGAGGGTGACCAGGTAGCCCAGCGGCACCACATGCTCGTTTGTGATCTCTGCGCGGCGCAGAGGCGTGCATGGGGGTGAGCTGGCAGCGCAGAGACTTCTCCATCGGAGAACTGGGTCATGCAGATCCGCAGAGAAACGAAGGCACACGGCAGACGGCGATGTTCTTGCAAGTGCATTTCCAAGTCGGCCCTGGCCTCCCCTCACCCCATCCCATACCTGAGAGGCTGCGGGCGGAGGCCACGACCTTGTTGTAGAAGAGGGCCACGTAGATGAAGGCCACGAAATCGATGGCGGCCGTGATGGCGTACCAATCCCGCGACTGCCGGCTGTGGTGCTCGGCGGCCAGAACGACCGGGGTCTCCTCCGGCACGGCCCCCCTGCCAGAGCCGCGCTCTGCCTCCCGGGCCAGCACGGCCGTCACGGCGGCGCCCGGGGACAGTGCACGCAGGGGCCACGTCCTCCCGCCCGCGCTGTGCGTACTGTGCTGGGGCACGACCTCCATCAGCACCGCCAGCTGGTCCGGTGGCGTGCCGGCCGGCATGTTGAGCACAGCCACATACCTGTGGTTGTGTAAAGGAGGTGTTTTGAGGGGGGGAGGGGTGCCGACTGTGTAGAGTACCGCGACAGTGGTGAGGGCATTTGGTCAGGGACTTGGTCACGGCGCAGAAAGACTATGACTCAAAAGACAGTGCCCCACATTGCGTTCATATTCATGACCCATGACCCCTGCACATGCCAACACGCCGGCCTACACCACCTCAAACGCCCCAAAACCACTGTCACCTCAAAACCAGGGGCCCCATCGCTGCCAGGAGCGGGGCGTCGGCAGGCACCTCCGCCGGCTGCTCCTCCTCGTTCACGTGCGTGAGGCGCAGGCGCGGGGTCCCGCTGCCGGCGGCAGCCGGCACGGACCGCCCGGCCGCGGACCCGCACACCTCCTCCGCGCGCCGCGCGTCCAGCACCGACTGCAAGAAGGCGCACGCCGCCTCCCCTGCCGCGTCATCCGCGCTCTCGCTTTCCTCCCGGCCCACGCGCAGCGCGCGTGGCACGCGCAGCTGCACGATGACGTGGTGCGGCGGGCGCTCGCACACTGTGCAGGCCTGCAGCGCGAACTCGGCCAGGCAGGCCGCCGCGGAGGTAGCCGCCAGCCTCAGGTGGCCCCAGGCAGAGGGCGATTGGCCTGGGGTGGAGGTGTCGGGGGCCTGCGCAGGGGTCTCGCCCCTTGCGCCCACCGTGCCGCCGGCCTCCAGGTCCGTGGAAGTGTGCGGAGCCTTGCCCTCCGCGCGAGACACCACGCAGACGGGTGGAGGTGGGGCTTGTTCTGTGGCGCCGACACTCCCACGTCCATCCACGTGGCCGCCGAGTATGGAGGGACTGAGCCCATGGCGTGTGGTCAGTGTGTAGCTGTGCATCAGGGTGACCAGGTACACAACAAAGAGGGGGATGCAGGCCACAGAGCTGGCATGGATGCCAATCACCTCCATACTGTGACGGGGGAAGAGGAGAAGGGGGAACAGGTGCGTGGGTGTCGGTGGTTTGGGTTGCAGAGGCTGCGGGGGAGGATCGTATACGTGTTATACCTCCAGGGACTTCCCTGCCCACCAGCGGCAAGCAATCCTCGCGCAAACAGCCGCACACGGGCCACTTGCACTCCCAGCCAGGCTCACGTGAACTGGAGCTGCGGGGTCACAAAGGAGCAGCCCAGGCGGGTGGGAATCTGGTAGGCATACTGCACGATGATGAGGAGCTCGCTGTACACCAGCGTCACCTGCGCAGGGAGTGGGGTTGTGGGGTCTTTTCTTCCAGATGTTGTCTTCAGAGCAAAGGATGGCGGCTGGCATGTGGCACTTACTTTGCCACAGCACCTGGCCCGCTGTCCTGCCTGCCTCCTCACACACACACACACCTCCCCCAAAAAGAAAGAAAGGAAGAAGGCTCACCCTCCAGTAGCGCGGCGTGGGCTTGACGGAGCAGAGCGCGTAGACAAACATGGAGAGCGGGAAGAAGAGGGCCAGGAGGGAGTAGTCGGCCACGAAGACGGCCACGTACGCGAGGTAGGCGACCACCGACTCCCGGTCCAGGCGGCGCAGGCGGTGCCGCAAGTGCTGCAGTGCCCGGTGCAGCAGACTTACAGGCTGCGAGGCTGCGGCTGCCGTGCCCGCCGCCGACTCCGACGCCGTCCCCTGGCCCGCGCCGGGAGAACCCCGGCGATCGACAGCCATCCCACACGCCCTGGCCTCCTCCTCCTCCACCGCCGACAGCTCGCGCTCGTAGTCGGTGGCCGGGGTGTGGGCGGGGCGACTGCCCAGGGCTGGGCCGGGCAGTTGCTGTGGCGGCGAGGCAGCGGGAGGTGGGGAATCGCGTGCCTCTGAGCCCCTCTTCGCTGTGCTCTCCTCCTCGCTGGCAGAGGCCGGCTCCACGGGGTGGGACTCCACCGCCGCCCGGACACCCTGCCCCCCTCCGGGTGCCCGGCCGGCCGGCACACCCTCCTCGCCGCTGCTGCCAGCGCTGACGTAGTCCGAGTCGGGTATGGTCAGGGCAGAGTCCGCGCGCCTGGCGGCCCCAGCGGCGACGCTGGTTGGTGGCGACGCTGCACCCTCCACACGCTCTTCTGTGGGTTCAGCAGCCACTTGGTCGCCAGCCGTCGTCTCCTCCACCGGTTCCTCTGCCGGTGGCCAAGCCTCCCCTTCCTCCTCCTCGTCTTCCTTGACTTCCTCCTCCTGCGTCTCTCCCTCCAGGAAGGCAAAATCGAGGGAGGTAGGGGACACTCCGACACCAAAGCTGGCAAAACTCGAGCCAACGCCCTCCTGCAATGCAGGCAGGGAACGAGGATCGTGAGACTTTGGCAGGAGAAGTGCTTACTGTAGTGCGTGGGGCGTTGCTGCCAAGCAGGTGCCATCTGAGACCTGAACAGCAAGTGCTCCATGACCAGGACCTCAGGTCAACCTCCTTTCGCCGTGCCTTGAGTCGCGCCACCCTCTGCGCTCGTGCGGCGCGCTGGCGGCTAGCCTCCACGGCGGCGGCCGCCTGGCGCAGCTTCCAGGCAGCCTCCTCATCACTCAGCGTCTGCTGGTGACGTTTTTCCTCCTCTGCTACCACGAACATTACCCTGATGGTCAGGCAGAAGGGGGTGGTGGAGGACTGGGAGGGCCAGGTGTGTGCAAATGAGCAAGGGCAGCGGACTGCATGCCTGGACGGGCCTTTGACAAAGCCTCTTCGTCAACAGGTACCCCTCGCCGCTCCAGCCCGCCAAGAGAATAATGATCACAATACCCACTTCTGGTATGTCGTCGTCGCAAAGAGGTGTGTCTGGAAACGGATGAGGACCCAGAGCACGACGTCCGCGGCGGCGCCGCGGTAGCCGCCGCCCAGGAGCGAGCCCCCCACGCTGGTCTTGTAAAGACCCAGGAGGTGGGCCAGGTTGCAGGCCTGCACGTCAGGGTCGATTTGCCAGCTGAACCAGGTCTCAAAAGGGATCTGGTAGATAAGCGTGATGACAAGGACGGCCATGTTGTACAGGGGCAGCCACCAGAAGAGCCTACTTGTGAGGAGTAGGGGAAAAGGGAAGAGGGGTGTTGATCCAGATATTGCTGCCTATACTCATGCATCTAGCGACCAAGTGTCACACAGGGCCGATTCCAGCGTCCCTGCACAGGCACTCGTCCTCACTGCAGCGAAGCTACACGGATCCGCTTGTACCCAGACAACTCCACACCGCCAACCTCAGTGTCACCCACCTCCCAGGTGCAGCACGCAGGGCGATGCGCTGCCGGAAGAAGAGGAGGGCCAGCGCCAGGTAGCCGGCGTGGATGACGTCGTTTTCCAGCGTACACAGCGCCACCACCGCGACCAGCAGGAACTCCAGGTAGTGCCTGGGAGGAGTGAGGGACGCGAGTGCAGGTGAGGTGTGGCTGAAGCTGCGAGGCGTAGGTATTCTGCCAACCATGTTCTTCACAGCGAGCCAGGGTCAGACAGCTTGCCAACAGATTGGCCCGGTTAACTGGCCCATGCCGCCCACCCACACGCTGTCACACCCCGCTCAACCTCCTCACCACAGCCGAGGCTCGCACCTGTACATCCAGAAGCGCGCCCAGTCGGCCCACCGCCACGCGGGTTGCGCGGCGAGGGTGAGGGGCTGCCAGAGCAGGGACCCCGGCAGAGCATCCTGTTGCACATCACCAGGGTTTCCCATCAGCAGCCAGGAGGCTTCCGCGGCCTGGGCGGCCGCCGCCGCCCGCCCCTCACGCTGCGCGCGCTGCGTCGAGCTCCGGTCGGCCAGCGCGAGCCACTCGGCATACCGCATCTGCAGCACCGCCGTGCTGTAGGCCAGGAAGAGGAGCCACAGGGCGCTGCGGCTCACGTCCTTCAGGCCAAGCCAGACCTGTGTGTTGTAGCGGTGGTGAGTGATGGCGCGTGCGTGGGGGGAGAGAATCCCATGCTGACGGCAATGTCAAGCAGCCTCATGTCGGGACGCACATCCTCGCGATGGATGGCGGTCCTCACCAAAATTGCGCCTGGAAGACAACGCTCTCCTCCCACCACTGCAAACCACCTTGAACCCCGGGAGAAAGCACGAATGCGAGCATGCCTGACCCACCAGGAGGTCGTGCCGCGCGTCATTGGCGCCCTTTAGGACAGGCAGCGGCGGTGGCAGGCCCACCAGGACAGAGTACTGGCCGGCGAGCATGACGCCCAGGGCCGGGACCAGGACCCAGCGGCAGGCCTGCGTGCGGCGGGCGGGCGCCAGGGCCATGACCAACCCCAGCAGGGCGACGTGGACCAGGGCCAGGGCCGTGGTGGCCTGGAAGGCGGTGAGGAGGAGGAGGAGGAGGCACAGGTCCATGTTCCAGCGCTGCCAGGAGCTCTCCAGCCAGTCCTGGAGCGCGAAGCGGAAGGCACGCCACTGCCCTGCGACGGGCAGCGGTGGGGGCGGGGCGGGGGAGCTCAGCCCGGTCGCGCTCGGGCCGGGAGGCGAGGAGCCCCGGGTCAAGGTGAGGGGCGCAAAGGGCCGTGCGTCGACTGAGCGGCCGCGCGTGGGGGTCCCTGCGATTGTATGGCGCCGAGGCACGGCGGGACCTGCGCTCGCCTCGAGCGGGGCCGGGCGCGGCCAGTCCAGCGCGTCCAGCGCGGAGCGCGCCCAGCGGCGCAGCGTCGCGCGCGCCTCTGCAGCGGCCGCGCGCGCGCTGCCCGCCAGGGAGGACACCGCGGTGCCCTCCGCCAGGAAGGCGCGGGGCGAGAGCAGGCCCGCCGCGCGGCGGCTGAGGCGCGGCTCCTCGCGCGGGTCCAGGCCTGGGCGCAGGCTGTCCTCGGGCGTGGGGGGCCAGAAGAGCGGGCAGGCCGCGCCGGCCACCCTCGAGCTCCTCACTGCTGCAGGCAGCTGGCTCTTCCACCTACACGTGTGTTGAAAAAGGGGGAGATTGGGAGGAGAAAAGGGCACCGGAGGAACGACCCAAGAATTCGGGTCAAGGATGCTGATATCTCAAGCCTCGCCAAGCAGCCAGACAAGTGCATCAGATCTCTGCCTCCCCGGCACCAGTCTCTTCCAGCGCCCGCATACTTGAGGGAGCGCCGCTTGGCAGCGACGGTCACCAGCACCAGCACCTTCCAGGCGAGCAGGCGCTGCAGGTGGCCGGTGTCGTGTTGGCTGGGGTCCCCAGCCTCCAGGCCCAGCCAGGCCACCCAGGCCCGCAGGCTGTGCAGGTCAATCAGGCCCTGTTCCAGTTGGTCAGTGAGTGGGTCGAGGGAGCAAGAGCTGGGAGGCGGCATGCTAGGTGCCGCACAGCCAGGCGCACATGGCCTGAGCCTGGCCAAGCCGGTCAAAATGCCTGGCCGGCTGGACACTCTCACAATGCCCACCTGGACCCAGGCGATTTCCACCGAGTACTGCAGGATGGTCCAGGCGCCCGCGACAAGCTGTATCGCCAGCAGGGTGCGGTACATTCGGGCCGTCTCGCCCGGCGCCAGGCGCTGCGCCCAGAGGAGGGGTGGGATGGCCACCACCCCACCTGGAAGATTGGGAGAGGTGGGTTTGGTTGGATGGGATGTGCGATATGGGTACGTTATGCGTAGAAAAGCACATGCCCCAAAGCCAGTGCAAGATCTTCCACGTGCTCTGAGTTGCATCTTTTTTCAGGCGAGCCGCTGCTGCGTCCACCATTCATGCCCATGCCTGCCGCAGGCACCCACATGTGCACGCGGCCTCCACCCACCAAACACACACACAGAAAGGCCCTGAAGACAACCAAACCATTCCGCGCCCCCCCCCCC